CTTCGCGAGCGAAGGTCCGGGGAAGGTCTTTACACCTTCCAGCCTCCGCATTGGATTTTTTAGGTGAGACACAGTGTGCGTGGAACTGAGCCCACCCTTTAATCCTAAGGTTCATCTGCTGGGGCCAAGCGAGCTTGGACGGTGGCAGCGAGGTCCTCAGGATGTAGATGGATTGCCTTTTTAAGGGCTAACGAGCTCCACCTGCCCGGGAGTGGGAGTGGCCCTGACCGGGAATCGAACCCGGGTCTTGGCGGTGACAGCGCCACGCCTTTACCACTAGACCACCAGGGGCTCCACAGTCATCATAGCAACAGATAAATCACAGAAGTTCATAAATGGTTGCAGTTCTTCAAATGATTACAGGATTCTTCTTCTTCTTTTTTTCTTTTTTTTTTTTTCTTCTCTTTACTTTTTTCTCCTTACTCAGTGTCAGAGCAGTTTTAAAGCAATCATATTGCACAGTGGATCTTCCCTGCCTGTAGTATGGACATGGCGTTCTGCACATGGAACCCAGAACAGAGATGCTGGACCTAATTTCCTCCAGGGTTCTTTGGATATAAAATGCATCTGCAGTGACAAAGCTATTGGTTGCAAGGCTGCGATGTCTGAGCATTTGTGGTGATTGTCCTCCAGGAATGTATACTCTTATCTCTCTGATAAGAGAAGGATCAGAAAAAAAGGTAACGAGTTTACCTATGACACTGAAAGTGTCAGACAAATACAGAACATGAACTAGAGCTCACTGTTGTGTTAATGACCCAGTGAAGAACATACCAAAGAGAAAAACACAGCACAGAAAAGGAACCAGCCCCAAATGATTGATACTCTCACCTTTCATCAGAGGCCCAAACACTGTTCACAACCTCTTCTGAAACAAGATCCAAAATTATGCCCCACCTATCCAGGCAATTTCTTCTGGAGATTTCTCCTCCTTCCTCAAGGCAACCTGGAATGAACTCAAGAGCATGACCCAAGAAGAGGAGTCAAGTGCTGGGAGCTTAGCTCAGCACTGATGTCATGACCCGCCAGAGCGTGCAGTGGGACCCAGAAGGGTTTCTGAGCCTCTTTGCTGCCCTCAGGGTTGACCCTGAATTGAGCAGGTTGTAACAATTGACTGCTAAGGCCCCTCCGTGCCTGAATGAGCCAGACCCCCAGGGTTTCCTGACCTTTTGCAGAGCAGTGGATTAAAGGCCAATGTCACATGCCCCAGGCTCCCATGGGAAGAAGCTTCCTCAAGCTTCATGTCTCTGTCAAAGGTGAGCCCATAGATTGGAGACTCCTTTGCACTTTGTTTGCTCCTAGTGCTTCTGCCTGGCTTTGTATCTGAGCTCTGCACAAACCTGCAGGACCATATGAGAGGGAAGGTAGAGATTACACTGGTATTCGGGCAGCTGAGGCTGAAGAAACAAGTGTAGTAGCCTGTGAGGTCCCCCGGGGTGTGGAAGGCACCTGGCAGAGCTCAGTGCTCCCAGGAGCAGGGCTAGCGCCTCTCAACACCTCCCAGACCTGTCAGGGTCTCTGCACCTGAGCTCAGAGCTCAGAATGCAGGCTGACCCTGTCCTCAAGTGCACTGGAGAAGGTCAAAGCAGACCATCCCACAGGCATTTTCTAACACTGCAGATTATGAATCCAGGAGAGCTCTGCTCTGTGCACGTCCCTGCACCCCTCGCCTCATGCTCAAATGGTGCTCTGCAGCCCTTGACAAAATGCAGCCAGCTCTGGCAACTAAGCAGCAAGAGAAGGATGATCTGTGTCTGGGGACACAATCCCACTCTCACTCCCACAGTTCCCACCAGCCCCTGTACTGGGAGGTGTCTGGGCCTGGCGAATGCCAAGGTCCCTGCAGTGGCTGTCCCTGTGCCCCCCTGGTACCACAGAGGACGGGGTGGGAAGGAGACTCCCTGTGCCAGGGAATCTCTGGGGCCATTAGGGTTCCTTTCCAAAGTGCTGATGGAGAGATGCTGACACATTCTCACCCATCTCCCATTGTATCCCATTGAAGGACACTTTGGATTTTCCTCATTTCTTGTGTTGTGGCCTGTGGGGACCTTGTTCATCTGCCCCACAGTCACTGGTGCTGCTGACTGCTCTTTTCCTACTCACATGGCACACATTGACTGCAGGAGAGAGAAGAAAGTGCTTGTTATAAGTAAAATGAAACTGAGTTGAAATATAGTAATAAAATTTATTGAAGATTTATGAAAAATGCAAATAAGCAAAACAGCATGCTGGGCAGCCGGGGAGACTCCTGCTCCACTCACAGCGTGCAAGCGCAATAAGCAAAAGCAGTAACTTTTATTCCCTTATCAGTTTCCCTCCCATTGTCACTTGTTGTTTTTCTAATGGATCTGAGTTTGTAGGTCTGGTTTTGGTTGGTTTCTCTGCAGGCCCGTTTCAGTTGCCAAGTGCCTTCTCTTCCATAGTTTCAATCAGTCTTTAGTCCTTGAGGCTTAGTGTGCAGCTCAGTGCCCAGGCATCTCCAGATGTCCATCTTGGATACTCTGCATCATTCTCACTCCTGACTCTTTGATTCTTGTCCTTCCCTCCATTACTTTATGCTTGCTATGAGACAATAAGCTTTTTATAAAAGTAAGATACAAAATACTTATTTAGTAAAGCACAATAATTTGTCTTTCCAGCTTAAGAACTGCAAGCTGCATAACTATTAGTTTTACCATTCTGTAACTTACAGTCTCCTAACCGTAACAGAATAGTGATTATAATAACATACATATAAGAATATAACATGCACTACAATTTAATGAGTAAATTACTATTATTACTAATTTGATGAGTAAATTTAACTATTACTACTTATTACAGCGCTGGACCTACGGAGGGGTATTCTGAGGTGGAATTTGGGTGGAAAGGGATGTTATGGGGGGAGGCAGAGCAAAGCCAATGTGGCACAGGACTGAATGGAAAGCTTGGAGGACATCCCTTTGTCCCTTCTGGAAATGTTATTTTCTCCTGTTTCAGGGCCGCAAACTGAGTGTTCTTTGGCCAGAAATAGAGGTGTGTGTGTTTAGGATGACTCAAAAGAAAGCTTGTGAATTATTATGAAATGGTTGGACACCCTGCAACCTTCTGTATTCATCCCATGGCTATCTTGATGTTACTTGGTCTGAAATTATGGTAGAAGGGCAACAAGTATTTGGAGTGAAATGGGAGGATTTCAAAAATCTTTCCACAGCTTCAGTGGAGCCTCTGGGAGTGCTTTTGTCCTTGTACAGATGTAGAACTATGTGCTTCTGTAGCTGTGGTGGGGAATGCAGAGCTTGTGGGTACTCTCAGGGTCTTGACTGTTTCCTTTACTAAGCACAGTAGTGCTGACTTTGTGCCTAACCCCAGCTGTGAGGAGAAGGGGAGGGATCTGAGACCAGTTGTTCCTCAGAACTGGTGCCTTCCTGGGGCAGGTGCTTCTTTCACAGCAAAGATTCAGGTGAGAAGCAGAGTTTGTGTCAAAGAGCATCTCAAATCCAATGTGTCCTTTTCCTTTCTGACAGCCAGACAACAGGAATCACACAATCCCAGAAGAGGGTTGGAAGGGACCTCTGGAGATCATCTCGTTCAATCCCTCTACCAAGGCAGGGAGACCCTGAGCAGGTGACACAGGAATGTGTCCAGGGGAATTGTGAATGTCTCCATTCAAAGGGCAAGGTGATCCCTTCCTGGCATGGTGAGAAGAAGTTCTTTCTCACGTTGGGAGTGCTCACTGCTCCTCATCCTGTCACTGGGCACCACTGTAAAGAGTCTGGTACCAACCTCTTGACAACTGCCTTGGAGATATTTATGTGCATTTATGAGATCCCCTCTCAGTCTTCTCTTCTCTAGACTGAACAGGCTTGCCTCCTACAGTCTCTCCTCATCAGAGAGATTCTCCAGGCCCTTAATCATCTTTGTGGCCTCCCCTGGACCCTCTCCAGTAGCTTGTTGTCTTTCTTGTACTGAGGAGACTGGACACAGCACTCCAGATGTGGCCCCAGCAGGGCTGAGTAGAGGGGCAGGATCACCTCCCTGAACTTCTGGCCACACTGTTCCTGGTGCACCCCAGGATCCCATTGGCCCTTCTGGTTCCCAGGGCATATGGCTGGCTCATGGTCCCCTTGTCATCTACCAAGACTCCCATGTCCTTCTCCACAGAGCTGCTCTCTAGTAGGTCATCTCTGACTTGTTCTGGTAGTTGGGGTTATCCCTCCCCAAGTGGAGGAACCCACTCTTGCCCTTGTTGTACCTCTTTAGGTTTCTGTGCCCCCAGTTTCTTATCATCAGCAAACTTGCTGAGGGTACATTCTATCTCTTCATCCACATGATGGATAAATGATCATAAGGAAAAATTGCATAAAAGAAATGCATCTCTCCCTGGCCTGACTGACCAGGCTTGTCTCTCTGCAATTCTGCTTTTGCCTTAGTCATATTTGACCTTCTGTATCCCATCACCAAACCATGAGGGCACCACCAGGCCCAGCCAGGTCTGATCAGCTGATCCCATAGGAGAAGATCTCTCCACCTCAACCCTCAGGCATTTTACAGGTGCAGAGAAAATGCTTTATCTGAGGTTCAGGGGGCTTGAATGGGGAGAAGGGATGTGAGGCTGGCTGGTGTTGAGTCTGTCTGTGGATCCTGAGATGGTTTCAAGTTGATAATAGAAAGCCACGTGATCCCCCCTTGAAGGCAGAGAAGCTTCTGTTTCTGAAAGGCTGAATAAATGGACATTTGGAAAGGCCACTGAATCTGACTGCTGGTTGGAGTGCAAGAGGCTGAGGGAGACAAGGGAGAGCATTTGCAGCAGGTCAGGGACAAAGGTCTGTATTGCCTGTCCCAATAACTGTCTCCCTCAGGTTCTCCCAAGGAGTGCCATCTCGTCCTTCTCATGCTCAGGCTTTGCATCCCGTTCCCAAGAAGGCAGCATACACAAGCAAGTTGGAACAAGCTTTTATTGATGGGCAGAAAGCAGAGCAGGAGGTGGCACTGTTGGGCAGCAGTGAGAGGAGGGGAAGAACGGGAAACTGGGTGTGCTTGGGACCTGCTTTCTTACCTTGCCAGGGAGACTTTCCTTAGTACAGAAAAGGTACCTGGCAAGGCATCTCTGACTCCGTTTCAGCTGCCCCTGGAAGCCTCTGAGAATCAGCAGATGTTGTGAAGAAGGGGCACTGAGTATTTTAATCAGAGGAGGGAGAGCCAGGTAGATCTTGGAGTGCAAACTTCCTCAGCTGTTCATTGATCCAAGGCTCAAAATAGGAGACTCTGGTAAATACCTTAGGGAAGGGCTTTTTTTGATAGCCATAAGAAACAATGCCATGAGCCTTCTCATTGCAGACTAATGGGCCTCCAGAATCACCCTGTGGAGAGAAAGGAGTGAGAGGGGTCAGACCTGTCACAGCACAGCTCTTCCTGCCCTAAGGAACAAACTGTTCCACTTCCCTCTCTCCACGTGAAGAATCTCCTCTCCTGACCCCCTCCCTCCCTCCAGACCCAGCTCTGCAGGGTTTATGGCTGCCTCACTACTCCTCTGAGCCCTTCTGGGAAGCAATTTGACATTCAAAACCTCTCTGAAAGGAAGGATCTAATCCTAGTTTAGACACAGGAGAGTATCTGGGCACTCCCAGCAAGGATAGGACAAAGGATTTACACAGACTCTGCAGGCTGCTGGACCCCTGGCTGGCGTGGGTAGAAGATCCCTAAGTGAGTAAAAAGGAAGATGATGCTGAGGGTTGGGCAAGTGCACCCCAGCTCAGGGAGCACATCAGCTTCAGAGCTGCTGGGAGGAGCCTCAGCTCATCCTCCTGAACAACCTGGTTCATTCTACTGCCCTTCGACCCCCAACTGAGAACCAACCTGACTGTCTAGTGCCAACCCCATCCAAACACTTACTTTGTAAGTTGATTTTCTGCCATTCCTATCACCAACACAGATCATAGACAGGTACGAGTAGCCTTTGAAAGACTCCTCACAAAATTTCTTAATCTGCACCTTCAGGTCCACCTCTAACATCACATCAGTCCTTTGCCCTGTCACCGATGTTAAACCCCAGCCAGACACACTACACTCAGTTCCTGGTGTGACAGTTTCGTTGTGAGTGGGCAAGGCGATGGTTTTCACATACTTATTTATCTCGGCCTTTTTCTTCAGCTGCCATGCAGAGAGAACATGGGGTTAGAGCCAGCAAAGGAATGGGAACAAGGTCATGGCTATGGTGGGGTGAGCAGGGGGAAATCCCTTGGGCAGCAGGGATGTGTGAGACCATACCTTCAGCAGCATGATGTCATTTCCAGATTCATAACTTTGGTATCTGGGATGGATGACCCAAAATCCAACATGGAACTTCTGCTGGCTCAGTTCTTTCTTTTTTATGTTGTGGGCTCCCAGGGTCACATTGATATTCACCTTTCTGCCAGGAAACACCACCCTGTTGCAGTTGCACTGGCCACAGCAACACAGCCCCATGGCAGGAGCTTGGAGGGAGCTGGTGCTGGGATGTGCTTCCCCAGAGATTCGTTCTCAGCAAATTCCCGTTTGTAACCTGGGTTCCTTCCACCGTTCAGCTGAGGGTCCCTCCCCACACACTCCCATAGGTCTGACTTGTCCCATTCTGAAGACACAGGGGAAGCAGGAGAGGGGACACACTGGCCCCTCTTTTGCAGCAGTACCTCTGAGCCATGGACCAGGAGATCACTGAGAGCATTCCTGTCCCCAGGAGCACACAGCCCCTGGCAGACAATTTCTGCAGCTCACAGAGCCCCCTGCTCTGCCTGAAGTGACACAGAGAACTCTTTCAGGCCAGACCAGGACTGGGCCCTTCAGGACCATGTGAGACTTGAAAATATCCCACACAGAAGAAACACAGGGTCTTACCCTTTTCCATGCACACAGTGAGCTGCTGAGAGCACTGCATCTGGGCGAATCAGGAACCCTCCACAGTTGTGAGTCCCTGAGCAACTTTCAATTTGTAAGTAAGCCATGTAGGGCCTGGAGTGGGGTTTAACTTCCCTTCCTCCAATGATCCTATCTGGAAGGGAGATGAGAAGTGTTAATATCACATGTGCCAATATTTCCTACCACAGTTTGGAACTGCATGAGGAGAGAGGGTCCTCCTCTAACATCATATGCAAATGATATCAACAGCTCTCCATCCTTGGGCTGTCCAAAGCATTGCTGGGGCACAGTGGAGAGAAGGACAAGCAGCACTGCCTGGGGAGGGCTGACCACACCTGGCTCTGCATTACTGCAATGCTATCAAAGGGCACAGCTCTAATCCCTGTAATGCATCACTGCTTTCAGGCACACTTTGAGCTGAGAACTCGGAGGAGAGGAGGAGTGCAGAGATAGGAGAGAAGACAAGGCAGGAACTTTTCCTGAGACTTCCTGCTCAGTGTCCATTTGAGCCCTTGCATGTCCTTGTGTAAAGCCCATCTGTGTGTACTCACCAGCCCCAGCCCATGGTAGAAGGAGAAAAACACTTGGGAGCAGGAGAAGCAGCATCTTCTACCACTGTCCTGAGGAGCCAAAGCAGCTGTGATGGCCAGGCAGGAGGCAGGTACAGAATGGCCATCTTTATATATGTAGTGTGGAGCTGACACAGGAAACCTCAGCCTGCTCTGCTTGTGTCATTTGCTGCCTTTGTTCTTACAACCCCCAGACTGTGGCTTGGTGAGGGAGTTCATTGCACATTCTCTGGTTTTTGTCACCATGTCCTCCAGAACTGGAGAGATCTTGGCTTGTTCAGAGACTCACACCCCCAAGCACTTGTGTTCTAGATGATTGGAGAAGTCCATAGTGCTGAGGATAGTCTGAGGTGCAGCTGGGAAGCCAGTCCATGGGCCCAGGTCCACACCAGCAGAGGCCCTGGCCAAGTGCAGGCCTGGCTGAGACACAGCTGGAGCTGGAGCTCAGGTGGGGTCCAGAGTCAGTGTCCTCTTCCAAGTAGCCCCCAGGAGAAGGGCAGTAGCCCTACCTGAGGTCTCTCTGAGGTCCTCCCTGGCAGCACTGGCTCCAGGCTTTCAGGCTGGAAGGGACTCAGCCCCAGGTTTGCTATGAGCTCAGTGTCCCAGTTTAAATGAGACAAGGGTCTTTTACTGAGGATGGATCAGGAGGAAAAGACCCAAACTTCTCTTCTTAAGCAATTATAAATCCAAAATTAAGAGACTTTGATTGAAGGAAAACAAATTATGGAAAAGGGAAAATACCAGCCCTTTATTAAAAGGTATGTGTGTATTAACAGGAACACGAAAAAACACAAGTAAAATAACTAAGCAATACTCCTATACCCACCAATAATCCCCTTTAAGAACAAAACCAATATACTGGCAAAAGGAAAATTAAACAGTGCAATTTTTTGCACCCTTTGGTGCAGTTCCAACCACCGTCAGGAGGGGGCGCCGTCGGGTCACTGGAGATGCAAAATTTACAATGTCCTGTACCATTCACCAGGTGGCGCTGATGGATCAATGGAGGAGCAGAACTTGTAATGTCCAGTGCCCGTCACCGGGCGGCGCTGTGGGATCCCTGGTCACTGCCACGTGGGATGGGGGAAAAAAAAGTACTGTCCAGGTATGTCGGAGGGAAGGAAAAAAAAAACCGAAAACCAAAAAAAACCTTGGTTCCCCTTCCCACACTGGAAAAGGAGAGAGGGAATGGGGGGGGGAAGGGGGAAGGAAAAAAAACCCCAGCAATAAAATAGAAAGTTCTCCCAATGGAAAAAAACTCACAGACTTCAGCAGATTAGGATTAGCTTTAAACAGGGCCTGCAGCCAGCAACAGCTGAGAAGAGAACAGCAGCAAATTCCCGTCAGACAGGAAGAAAAAAGAAATCAGGCAGCTCTGCAGCTTGCAGCAGGTCCTCCCCTCCCCGGCACACACACCAGCCACCCACAACTCCTCCCCTTCGTTGTCAAGGAGACTAATCTTGGCCCTTAGTGGGTGAGCCGATTCCTTTGTTCACCTGATGGCCCATATACAGAACACACACACATGGCAGGGGGAAGGGAAAGAAAAATTCCTTGCTAAAATCAGAGCTATGACACCCAGCCAGACAAACCTGCAGGAAGGGCAATGCACTGAAGGCACTGACACTGAGGAGGAAGACTGGACATCCTGTCTGGGCATCTCTTCCAATGCTCCACTCTTCTCATGGTGAAAGCACTTTTAGTTACTTCTTACAGATTGACTTTTTAATTTCTTTTCCACTGTCCACCCATTATCTTTCTCTCTCCTGCTGCCACCGCTGGCTGCGGTGAAGAGCCTGGTTCATCTTCCTGGTGGTTATTGCAGGCATTGGAAAGCTCCTCTTCTGCCTGAACTTGTTCTAGGCCTCCACGTAGAGTATGGCCTATGAACCACCACCAGCACTCTCTGAGCACGAACATCCTACCTGTTTTTAGCCACCGAGTTGTTGATTTAGATCCTAACATTCTAACCCACAGAGAAGAACATGCTGGGTCCTGACAACCTCCAGAGCCTTGCTAAAGTCAAGGTAAAGGACACTCCCTGCTCTCCTTCCTGCATAAGGCCACAAGGAGAGAAGCAAATCACCTTGGTCAAACCTGTCTTCCACTTGGGAAGTACTTACTGACTGTTGCCATCCCCTTCCTCTGCTCCATGTACCCTAACGTGCCTTATGAGAAGACTTGCTCTGTGAGTTTTCCAGACTCCTTGGAAAAAGTCTATTTCCCTCCTCTTCTTTCAGCTTTCCCCTTTTCATTCATCAACATGACCTCAGCAAACCCAGACTCCTCTTCAGCCTTCTGATGTTTCCAGCAAAGTGCTGATGTTCTCTGCAATTCCTCTCTTGGCTGGAAGTTTAAAAAACTGTACCTGGGAGACTGAGTCTTCCTGAGTGAGAAGACCCTTGTGTCCCAGGTTAGACTTGGCTCCCAGCCAAGTGCCCGGACCACAGGGACAAAACCTTCCTCCTCCTTCTCCCTTTCTCACAGCAGACCGAAAAGATCATGAAAAAAATCAAAAGAACCCAAACCAAACTGAATTTCAAGTGAAACACATTTATATATATAAAATAGAATTATACAAAATATAACACCCACAGGGAACCCTTCAAAAGGAAAAAAGAAGGGAAAGGGAAAAAGGGAAAAAGGGAAAAAAGGATAAAAAGCAAATACTTCCCTCAAGAGAACAGCGAACTGCACCAAAGAACCGCTGGCACTCTCTGCCTCTCAAGGCCAACCAGATGCACTCGGCCTCACTCCCTCGCCCGGGCAGAGCGACAGCAAAGAATCTTCGCCTTCGGTCCACCGGAAGAAAGAGAGCGAGAGCTTCCTCTCCCTTCTTATTTATACTCTTGCTTACGTAAAAATTGTATGGAATACTGGGAACATGGCCTTGGTTC